ATGCACTCTTTCTCTCACAAGTTCTGACTACAAAAAAAAAAAAAAATCAAATTATTTGTGGGGTCATTTGACCCCACATGACCCCATGTGGGTCCGCCCCTTTTTCACGAGCATCTGTAAGTTAACAGTTTCCGTGATTGAACATGACATGAGACTTGTGAATAGAACAGCCTAATATTGAAGTTTTGAGATGGTCAATCAATCTTGAAACTCCTGGAAGTCATTATGGGACATTGAATTTTAGTATCTTTTCTTAGCAATAAGGGATATAAGACATCAAAGATGACAATATAGGATCCTAGATTCCTCACACATACATGGCTGAAAAATGGGAACGGACCAGGAAGTTCAAAATGCAAATTATACAGCTGCAGCAACTAGTACACAGTCAGAAGCACAAGAAACCGAAAAGCACAATATAAGTGGTTAAAAAGTGATTAAATTACCATACTGAAAAATTTTGGAAACAAAAATTTTAAATTTGCTTTGGATGAGAACATGTGCTTCTGCCTGCAGAACACTAACTCTAAAATAAACGAAGTAAGAGGTAACTTTACCAGGCAAAAGATGTATGAAGACGCTAACAATTTTGTCCATTGAGTTGAAAACTAAGCTACAACGCCAAACAATCAGTGCCCACGACAATGGCCCCTACAGTCATACTCATGACTCATCATTCCTTAAGATGGAACAAATATACCAGCATATTAATTGATTACCTCAGCAAACGAGAAGCAAACCATGAAAAGCTTTTCATTTGTTGGATAAAAAAGAAGCATGATCAAAAAGATCGTATTGGCATAGTAGCAAAAGTCCTGCACGACATATGGAAATCGTAGAGTCATCAGTTTCTTCTTTTCTTTACTTTTTCAACAAAATGCTATATTCTAAGATCCCAAATAAGAAAATAGATTTTCTGCCATATTTATGAGTAGAAAAATGCTTCAAAAGACAAAAAATGTACTTTTCCAAGACAAATAAATAGGGAAGACAAGTTGGAGCTTACCAAAAGATAATAATGCCATTTCTTGTACCGATAATACATCCATCTAAGAGGAACAAAAATTACATAAAACAAACAATACAAATATCGCACATCTTGTGGCCCTGATGAATCAACCAACAAAATGACCAAATTAAGAAACAATCACAAAACAAATAACCAGTTTGAATATAACATTGGTAAAAAGATGAAGGTGCTGCTATTTCACTCACTTGCACCCAAAATAAAGCAGAATCCACCAAAGCCAAGAACACCCAACAGATGTGTCACCTACAAATTAACAAAAATTCAATCAATTCAGCCTCAGAAAAACATCAGGATACCCTGCCAAAAAATGAAGTTAACAACATATAACCAATATTAAAAGAGGATAGAAGGTCATTTACAATAGTGGACTAGCATGCGTGATACAGATACTCCTCTATGGAAATGTTCTGGCTTTCGAAGGTGAGCATATCATTGAAAACATCATAAATTCATTCTAACACAGCAATTGCACACATACAGCCATCATGTGCTTACCTCTATGTTTCAACATACAATATACAAGATTCTTGAATACAAAATGCATTTTTTTAGACCTTGTTGATGAATCTTTCATGTTCTTCTGCCTGTTTGGCGATCTTATCAACTTGTTTGGACAATATCTGTTTGGTCTGAACTGCCTGTTTCGACAGAATTTCTTTTGTTTCTGCTACTTTCTGCACAAATCAAACATCCCTCACATCAACAAATACAATCAATCAAATACCCAATTCACAGAATAGGGAATCGGGTTTCGACTGCAAAAGAACTTTAAAAAAATAAAATAAAATAACGATAGAGGTGGCAAGGGAGCGGCTTATAGACGTGATTCCACAACGCAAACAACCAAACAGAAGAAGTTAGAAAATGGTTTAAATAAATTATTGTATCAATCATTTAAATGTTTACGTAATAAATTATGCAATTGTATACCTTGGATCGATCTTTGAGCCTTTGTTTGACCCTCCCAAATGAATGTCCATTTGAATCATTCACCTCCATGGCTTCGTTGCTTGCCATTTTGTGCTATGTATTTTGCGCCTTCTTGAGATTTTGTATTGTTTTTTATTGAATCGAATATGAAGGGTAATAGATGTTTCCGGGTCAATTGGGCCAAGATGGCTAGGCTCGGTCCATGAAAGTCAAGGTAATGGGTCGGATTTTAACCGTGCCTGTACAACAGTACAAGCATGATGTAAAACAAATAACTGAATGAATTAAACAAGATTTTGATTAAAAATGGAAAAAGACAATAGTGCAACAACTGAACTCTGATTTGGGCTCATAGTACCATTTCAGAAAGAGAACGACGAAACGAGTAAAATTTACCTTATAACATGCGATGGATTTTGGCCATTTGAGATTGTTAAGGATTCGAAAACTGCTTTTAAAGTTTTCAGTGCCATTTTTGTCATTTAATTTATTTCGATTTTTTTTGTAATTTTAGTTTGTTTAAATTAGGTTTTCGTGTAAACCCTTATAAATTAAAAGGTTAATTCATTGTTTTTTATTATCTTTCAATTAATAAAATTCCTTAATTTATTTTTATAATTTGGTGGATTCCAAATTTCATGTTTTTAGATTTTTTGCTTGAATTCCTTATTTCGCGCTACGCAAGTGATATCAGAATTGGTTTTTTCGTCTCTATATCTTTGATTCACAACCATAGGTAACGTATCAATTACTAAAGCAAATTTGGATGCTCAAAATCGACAGATTGCAGAGCTTACAACGCGGATCGAAAAGATTCTTCAACTGTCGCTGCGAGGTGTTGGAAATAATGAATTGAATGAACAACACAAAACCAACAATGAATAGATCGCTAAGCTTGTAGTTCGGAGAGAAAATAATAGGAGGCTTGCAATAGATGAGTGAATCGAAGTCAAAGGAGGATTTCAAAGCGCTGCTGCGTAATCATCAAAATCGAAATACCTTTGATGATTAAAGGATTAAAACAGACATTCCCCCGTTCTTTGGTAACATGAAGATCACGACCTTTTGGATTGGTTTGTTGAACAATTTTTCGAAATTATGGATGTGTCAGATGACAAGATGGAACTTAAGATGGTGATGTTCCGTTTAAAATCGACAGCAACAATATGGTGGGAATAATTACAGAATACTCGGAGGAGACAGGGCAAAAGTCAGATTCGGACTTGAAGAAAGATGAAGTAGTTTATGATGGGTTGGTTTTTACCTGTAGATTACAAACAGATTGAAAACCTAACAATGACTAACCAAGAGAGTGAATTGGTTTTTAAAACTTTTTCGAAAAATTAATCTAAATTCAAGCAAGTAAAGACTAAATAGATTAATTCAAATAATAAGCACAAATATAAAAGCGGGAAGTAAAGGAAGAGAGAATGCAAATAATATAATTGTGGAGGTTCGATCCAAAGTAATGATTTACGTCATCCATTATTAAGCTCTCCGGCACGAATAAGTGCCGAAAAAGCGGCCCGCCTTGCAAAGGATATCGATCCTTACATAATGTTGAGTTTTATAGGACCTCAACATAACCCACTATTGAGATTTAACGGGACCCTAACACAACCTACACTATTGAGTTTTACAGGACCTCAATATGACATACACGGTGACTTATAACAAGAAGCACCGATCCTTATACAATAAGGATCTTTACGGGACTTCAACATGACCCACACTTTATCAAAGTAGTTTTGCAATGAAATTTATCTCTAGACAAATAATACACACAAATTAAGTACTAAGAGATGCTAACACTTCAATAAATAACAAAAAATGATAACTTACATGTTAGATGAAAAACTTTGATAAATATAATGGCTAAAAAAAGATTCAATCAATCAAAGTTTTTTCAATGAGAAGATGAAGAAGAGTCAAATGCAATTTAAGTTCAAAAATCTTCTCAAAATATTTCTCCCTTTTAATGAATAATTGTAATAAATTAAGTATTAAGAGAGTATGAGAAACTTTGATGATGAATATGATAATTTTACAAGTTTGATTCAATCAATCAAAATTTTTTATATGAAGAACTAGAAAAGTTTATACAATGTATGTGCAAAAATCTTAAAAAATATATTTCTCTTTTAAAATTGATATAAATAAGTTAAGCGCAAATATAAATGAAAAACTTTGATAAGAGAAATGATTCAATAAGTTTAATTTAACAATCAAAGTTTTTCTTCTGAAAAAATAAATGAAATGAAGGTAAAAATGTAAATTCAAAAAAGATATTTTACAAATATATTTTATAAGAAAGCTCTTCTCTAGTTGTTATAATGAATGGAAAGTGAAACAATATTTATAGCAATCAAAACATCTGAATTTCTAACTAACCAGACAACCCATTCGGACGTCCGGATCTTGAACTGGACAACCAAACTAGTCGTTGTGCATCACAATCAGAATGATTAAAAAAATGACCGTTGGACGAACTGGACGTTCGCTTTGACTTTGACTTTTTTTTAAAAAAAATGTAGAGTTTTGAATGACATTTTCACTTTATGTTTTAAGGTAAGTAACATTGTAAAAAATTTAAATATCAAATTGAAACACTTACCTTTTTGAAGAATAATTTTTTTATACAATTGTCTTTATGAAATAATATTTTCATGTATAAAACGATTTTTGAGCATTTACCAAAGTATTAATACCTTTAAATTTGAACTAAGAACTCTAGTTTTTTAATCTTGTTTTGAAATTTGCCTCTTAGACTTTTCGTCTTGATTTTTTATTTGATGTCGTCTTTCATGCTCTTAATTTTACTTTTTCTTGACGTTTGTCTTTTAAGTTATCGTCTTGAATGATTTGACTTGAATGCGTAACTTTTCCTTTGATCTTCATTTCGAGTCCAATTTATAATATGTTGATTTTGGCAATACTTACCATTAAGGATGATTTAAAATGTGTTGATTTTGACAATGTTTGATTGATTTTAACATTAAACTATCATCACTCAAAATCAATTGTTAGAAACAATATTAATCTTGTTTGTTATGATCAAAACATTAAGGATAAAATCATCAACAATTTCCTCCTTTTTGATTATGACAAACAAGATGATTTGTAGGGTAAGATTGAACAATTGATATAATATTGATAAAAGAATATACATTATAAATTTATCATATAATCCATATTCCCCTTGTCTTTTACAAATCAAGAACCATACATTCAAATCATATAAATGATTTTCTCTCCCTTTTTCATATACTCTAAGTATATTATATTTTCAAATCAAAGCATGCATAATCATCTCACTTCATTTTTTTCCCTTTTGACATAAGTAAAAAGGTAGCACATATGCTAGCAAGAGTATGTCATATAAGATCAAAACATAAAATTAATCATAGGAAATAATAATATTGCAGCTCAACAAAGCCCAAAATGCCAAATATATGCAAGTTATTGATATCAAAACATAATATGCCACATTAAATTTCATAGCATATTTCAAATAGTTCCAAAATATATAAAACTGGATTTACACTCAACCGAACAACCTTTTAACAGGTCCGGACATCCGCATATGAAATACCCAACTTTCCGTCAATTCGGACGTCCACTCTGTCGTCCAGTTGCACATCTGAACGTCATATTTTCCATCCGAACGATCGCTTATCCATTTTTAATGAAATTTGGAATTTATGATCATAAAGATGTAACAATAGTTTTATAAACACATAAACATATTGGCCATATATTTCAAATTCATCGATAATTCTCAAACCTCTTTGAATACATGAAAATCTATCAAGTGTTAGAAGTTTAGTGAGAATATGGGCCAGTTTTTATTTTTCTTATTCACAAATTCTAATACAATATCTCATTTTTGGGTGTCTTTAAAATATCATAGATGTAATGTCTTAATGACACTAATATATCTAAAATTTGTTTTATGGCACTAAGGTGCAATTCTTGAGTATTAGGTTAAAATATAGCACGTAATTACACACCAAACATAATATCGAGTCTACTTGCGATTAAGTAAATGAGATATCCAATCATACCTCAATATTTTGTTATGTTTATGGAAGTACCTTGATCATCTTTGTCTAGTTTGATTGATGAGCTCATTGGAGTGTTCATTGATTTCAACTCTTCCATTTCAAATTTACTGAGTATGTCCATGATGTACTTTATTGGACTCCATTACTTAGGCAGAGATTGATCACTTTATACTTCAGAAAATTCTTTTTCGTCTAGTTGCACATTTGCTTCTTCCTCATGTTGATCTTAACATCTTTAGGATCTTTGTTGTTTGATTTTGAATTTTATTTGCTCGAAAGGAATCTCCAAACCTACCCCTAAAATAAAATGGCGTTTGAAACTTCATCAAGCATTACAACATTGATATAATGGGTATATTGGAGACTAAACTTGGGTAACCAAAGTTGGATCGAATTATGCGGAATAAATTCTACGGATTGTTGTAAGTAAACAACTTCTTCACTCATCAAGCTGGGCGGATTTTGATCTTATGAATTTTTTTGAAAGTCGAATTGGAAATGTTGGAGAATTCACCACAACTTATTTATTATGTGGCTAAATGCAAGGTAACCTCTTATATCTTCCAAGTTAATTGGGATTTCCGTAAAGGTGTACTTGATGGGATAGATTTTCCACCAAGATTTATTGATTGGGTCATGAAATACATCACTACACTGTCTACTCCATTGCATTAAATGGTAGCTTACATGGTTTCATTAAAGGAAGAAAGGGACTTCGACAAGGATATCCTCTAGCCCCTTTTTTGTTTATGTTATGTCTCGAGTATCTCTCTAGAATGTTGAAGGTTGCAACCGACAATAGTGAGTTTAATTATCACCCTAAATGTGGTTCATTGAAGATTACACATTTATCTTTAGCATACGATTAGATGTTTTTCGTAAGAAGGGATTTTATATCGGTTTGCATTTTAATGGAGTGCTTGACCAAATTTGGAGATTTTTCGAGACTTAAAATGAACACCATGAAATCTAGTTTATATAGAGTTGGTATTCATGGGCATGAGTTGGAAGAAATTCAAGTGT